CTATCATCTCTCTCTCTCTCTCTCTCTCTCTCTCTCTCTCTCTCTCTCTCTCTCTCTCTCTCTCTCTCTCTTTCTTCTTCTTGCAAAATCGATCTGATCCACTGCTAACTGATGCGAGACCGAATGGTATGCTGCTGTTGTCAAAGACAACTTTTAGCAACAAATAAAAATGGAAGTGAGGTCAAATACGTCCATACTTGTAAAATGGCGTATGTTGGATTTTGTTGGGCCTTAATTAACATGGGTCCATTTTGAGTGATAAACTGTGCGAATAGTAAGTTATTTTGGTCAAACAGGTTAGAGTTTAACTTGTGTGAACTTGTCAACACTTTTTGGTTCTATTTGGAACTAGATCAAGAGAAAGATTAGAAGAACAGAAAATTGGTCTGAACTGTATCAGTGGTTGCGTGCATAATGCAGCACCACAAATGGAACCATAGAACAGCATACTGGGCATTGATGTGTAATTTGCCGCGATATAGATGTTCAACGTAGTTGTGGTTTGCAATTACAATTGGACAGTTTTTCTTAGCATTTGTCTGGAAATCCATATTGGGCCATGGTTTTTAGGTATATATCGTCATAGTTTAAGAGGCTCAACTTCTAAATGTCATGTCTTCCCAGCCAAGTGAGTTTAGAGCCATGATAATACTTCAAATAATCCATGATCATGAATGCTCAGGTGGAGATTTGAACTAAGATCCTTCACACTGCCGTCGTTAGCGAAATCTAGAGGATAAAATGATTTTTTTAGTTTTAGGGGGGGGGGGGATAGTGTTAAAATACTGGGAGAAACAAACAGTGTTAAAATACCAGGAGAAGAAACAGTGTTAAAATTCTAGGAGGAAGAAACGGTGTTAAAATACCAGGAGAAACTGTTAAAATACAGTGAAGCGACTGGACCACCAGATAGTACTGACTTGTATCTTGACAGACCCACCACGACGGCTTCAGTTTTACCTGAGCTCCCCTCTCCCTCTACCTCTAGTCTATACATCTTTGCTGATAGCAGCAGTTCATGCCTCCGATCACGGCAACTCAGAAGCACGTTCAAGGTCATGGCCGGAGCAGCGTAGTACTACGGCCTGGAGTGAGTGGACAGTTCTTGGATGACCGCCAGACGCCCGGCCGCTTGCGTAGTCATCTGGTGTAAACACACAAGGCCCGCCGTCTGTGTTCTGGTTCGGGGGAACGAGCCCGGGGCTTTAGAATTTTGATTGTTTTGTTTCTGCGGAAGCCCAATGTGCTTTTGGGAACAGAATATGATATATAATATACGCTTTGGAAAGACTTATTTGATTGCTTTGTTTTTTGCGCAAGCACAGTGCGCTTTTTGGGAACGGAATATGATAATATACGTTTTGGAAGGACTTGTTTGATTGTTTTGTTAAGTTCGATGTGCTTTTGGGTGCGGAATATGATATATATATATATACGTTTTGGAAGGACTTATTTGCGGGACAAAAGGGGGACAAATTATTATATCCATAATGACAAGATAGATCCACTAGGGTTTGTACAAAAACTCTCCTCTCACAACTGACAATCTCAGACATCTTTCACTCTTTGGAATCAGTCACGTTCGTTGCGAACTTCTTATCATTGACCTTTGATCCCGTCTGATACACTATTGTTATATATACAGAACAAGAAAAGAATATTATGTATTTCACTGGTCGTTCATCTCAGGTTTGCTTATTCAGCAGTCTTTGCTTTTGGGTGTAAAAAGGTAAACAGACGCTTTTAAAAAAAAATGACATAGCTAATGCCAGACCGACAGTTGTTGTCGAATTCATGACATTTCTGTGTTTGTCGGCGTTTTGTGTTTCTTTTTCTCTTGTTTTCTTTTTGAGTTGGGTATTCTTTCTTTTTTTTCGGAGGGGGG